GCGCCCGGCCTATAAATGCATTTTCATTATGAAATTTGGAAAACAAAACAGGGGAAAGGAGAGAAAGAGGAAAGGAAGCAAGGACGGGAGGGAGGGAGGAAGGGAGGGAAGGAAGGAAGGGAGCGAGGGAGGAAAGAAGGAAAGGAGGGAGGAAACTTATAATTTTCCCAAAGAAAATTAACATTTCTTTGAGAGGCTGAGGTGGGTGGATCATCTAAGGTCGGGAGTTCGAGACCAGCCTGACCAATATGGGGAAACCCCGTCACTACTAAAATACAAAAAATTAGCCAGTCATGGTGGTGCGTACCTGTAGTCCCAGCTACTTGGGAGGCTGACACAGGTGAATCGCTTGAACCTGGGAGGTGGAGGTTGCAATGAGCTGACAGCGTGCTACTGCACTCCAGCCTGGCAATAGAGCAAGACTCCATCTCAAAAAAAAGAAAAGAAAATTACTAACATTTTTGGTGAGGTGCCTTCTAGTCTTTTCTCCCCTCTCTGTGTAGTATTTGTTGAAGAAGTTGTGGTTATACTGATGGAACTATTTTGCAGTCTACTTAATTATCTTAAAAATATAATAGTACCACTTATCCACTGTTTCCGTTCCTGTGGTACAGTTATCCATGGTCAATCTCAGCCCAAAAATCTTAAACAGATATTACAAAAATAAACAATTCATTAGTTTTAAATTGCACTCCATTCTGAGTAGCATAATAAAGTCTTGGCCCATCCTGCTGTGTCCCACTCAAGATGTGAATCATCCTTTTGTCCCGTGTATCCACACTGCAGATGCTACACACCTAATAGGTCAACAGCAGCCGAACATGTCACAATGCCTACTCCATTCACTTCATCTCATGATGTAGGCATTCTATTTCACATCATCACAAGGAAGGGTGAGCATAGTATAAGAAGATATTTTGACAGAGAATGATCGAACTCACATAACTTTTATTACAGTATATTGTTATGATTGTTCTATTTTGTTATTATTGTTAATTCCCTAGTGTGCCTATGTTATAAATTAAACTTTATCATAGGTATGTATGTGTATGGAAAAAAAAAAGAAAACAAATATATAGGGTTTGGTGCTATCTACAGTTTTAGATTTCCACTTGCGGTCTTAGAACAAGACCCCCACAGATAAAGGGAGACTAGTTTATAAGCAAGCATTTTTTTCTAGGTGATTACTAATTTTTTTCAAACATCATTTTAAGTTACTATACAATATTTCACTGAATAAATGTATAATGGTTTATTTAATTCTTGCTTTCCTATTAAACATATGCTTAAGCATCAGAATATACTAGCAAAATCTCAACTACTGGGCTGGATAGATAAGGAAAAGATGTTGCAGCCTCCCAAGCAGCTGGGATTACAGGCATGAGCCACCAGGCCTGGCTAATTTTTGTATTTTCAGTAGAGGCAGGGTTTCTCCATGTTGGTCAGGCTGGTCTCGAACTCCCAACCACAGGTGATCTGCCTGCCTCGGCCTCCCTGCATATTCGTTCCTATTAATCATGGTTTGAGTAGTATAAAACTCTCTAATTTGTTTAGATTTGGTCAGAAACCATGTTTGTCAGTGGTACAGTAACAGATCATGCTTTTAGTGAGCCTAGATAGTAGTGTGTTTTGAGGTACAGGGCAAGAGAGATGCAGATCTTCATAAGAAGATCACCCTTGTACTGAACAAAAAGTTGAATGAATAAATAAGCTCTCTACAGTTAATAGCTGGAATTTGTTACCTAAAATTGGATAACTTGGCAGAAACTCTATAAAAAAAGGTTTGCTTATGCCTTTGTGTGTTTTCCTATAGAGGGACCGCAGCCTTCGTTATGTTCTCAATTGGTCTGTGACCAATCAAAATGTATGGAGCTATTAAATACAGAAAGACTTCAACATGTATCCAAAAAGTTTAAGAAGTTTTCACGTGTGATATATCTATCTTATATTGTCTTATCTTCCTTTTATGTGAAATTAAAGCTGATTCCTTTATTTACCTGTTTTTAAAATGTTTTACATTTTTCAAATGTAAAATCAGGTAAATAAACACCTAGAATTTAACCCATTGGCTCTCACTGTTGTTTTTCTTGGTCAGGCACATGTGACAGATGAATTTTATAAGTAACATATTAATTGGGCTTCTATGAATGGTCCAGGAGGTTGTGCCTTCCCCAATACTTAATAATTCTTGGCCTCAGGGAGATAGGGGCTACTATCCTTGCCATGCTCTGAGGACAAAGGCATGAACACTGATCTTGGATTATATCCCTTGGAAAGATAAAATGTTCTTTTTTAATTCATGAAAAGGTATAATTTTGCCAAAGAAAATTACTAACATTTCTTTGGGAGGCCAAGGTGGGTAGATTACCTAAGGTTGGGAGTTCAAGACCAACCTGAACAACATGGTGAAACCCCATCTCTACTAAAATACAAAAAAGTAGCCAGTCATGGTGGCGCATACCTGTAATCCCAGCTACTTGGGAGGCTGACATAGGAGAATCGCTTGAACCTGGGAGGTGGAGGTTGCAATGAGCTGACATTGTGCCACTGCACAATAAGACAAGACAAGGCTCATGTCAATCATGTGTGTGCACAAAGGATAAACTTCTATTTACATGCCACTCCCAGCTCCAGATGTAAATTTACCTTTGTCACACTCAAGAACGTGAGCAATGGTCCCATTTATGATCTCATTATAAGAATCGTGCCTTATTATATTTAGTGACAAAAAAGATTGTCATTTCTGACTTACCTCATAGTACACTAATGTGCAACGTCATTGTGAGAAGAAAAATTTTGATCACTACAGATTTTGGAAGTTGTTTTTCTATTTATTTTTAATCTCACCTGTTCCAAAAGTTCTAACGTGGTATACATACTTATATATAATAAAACAAGATAAACTAACGGGCTACTGTAAGATTTTAAATGAATGACGAAAGTATAAGATAACATCAGAAATGAAATTGAAGACAAACTATATATTGTAAGATAAGCTCCACTGGGTAGATCTTGGTCATAAAGTGAGATTAAGTTTTGCAAGATACAGCTTAAAGAGTCAAAAAATGACACACTTTTTTTTTGCCCCCGAGATGGAGTTTTTCTCCTGTCGCCCAGACTGGAGTACAAGGGCCCGATCTCGGCTCACTGCAACCTCCGCCTCCAGGTTCAAGCAATTCTCGTGCCTCAGCCTCCCGAATAGCTGGAAATACAGACATGTACCAGCATACCTGGCTAATTTTTGTATTTTTAGTGGAGATGGGGTTTCTCCATGTAGGTCAGACTGGTCTCAAACTCCCAAACTCAGGTGATCTGCCCACTTCAGCCTCCCAAAGTGCTGGGATTGCAGGTGCGAGCCACCACACCCAGTCAAAATGACATACTTTTAAGTGGAATATCCATGTCTAAAGCCACTAGCTCCTGATATAAAATGGTAACGTCCATGTCTACTTATTTTATCCTTAATACAAAGTCAGCCATTTGTTCACAGTGGAAGCACAACTTCCTCATACTATGACCAGACAGAAATCTATCCAATGGGTCCTCATGGGACGACACTATGATACAGAAATATACTAAATGCAACCCTTGGCTTCATAAGTCTTTGTCTCCTCATTTCTTCTACACAGACTGTTGAATTCACAGTACAATTACAATTTTAAAAATGTATTTTAAGAGAGATTAGAATAACACGGTTTGGGTATATAGACTTTTACAAGCCCACGTTAATCAGAGGGAGATTATAGTGTATTTAAATGCGGGGTTGCAAAGTGCTCATCTGCTTTCAGGAATTGACCTACAGGAGTATTTTGCAGAGCTGAGGGATGACAGTCCCCTAGATAAGTACTTGCTCTCCAGCATGCCACAGGTCACATAATTGCCTTAATTCAATTTTGTTATGTTCTTGGCCTCTCTAGTCCTTAAAGATTATAATCCCCAATCTAGAGGGGTGTGTATCCTGCCTCTCTTTCAAGGAATCCTCCACAAATACCCTGTCTCATTTCAGCTCTTTCTGTGAACATTTTGGAGAAGTGACTTCAAAATAATGTCCTCCAAGAAGTGCCTTGAATGTAGCTATTGTATATTGCTGTTGAGTAGTGATTATACAGAAAAGTAGGCAGGGATATGATCAGCATCAACTTGTGAAGGCTAAAATAGTCCATCCTACTGCTTCATGGAAGTGGATCAAAGGAAGGCAAGGATTGGATAATGGAAGGCACTTTACTTCCTACTGAGTCTTCCCTAATTTGGGAGAATATAACCAGTTGAGTGTCTGAAGATGGCATGTTTATTCTTTCTAGTCTCAACAGCTGGGCAACTTACATATGCTGTTTATATGGGCATAAAAATCACAACTATAAACTGATACTTAATCCACAAAGGAAACCATTTCATTCATATTATCCCAGTAGTATTAATGTTAAAATAATATGTAAACACAATCTTTTTTAGCTCATGTGTAATTTCTGATTATGAGTTCATCAGGCAAAGTAAATACAAAAATAGAATTTTATAATAAAAAGAATTGTGTAATAAAAAGCATAATAGTGATTAATACTAAAATAATCATACTAATGTCCAGCAGCTCCTGATACAGAAGAGTAGCCTATGAATGCACCAAATCCTACTGTTTTTTTATCCATTGCATAAATACAGGGATTAACTGACATGAAAAAGTAGGAAATAGTGTAATTACACAATTAAGTGGCTGCATACATCAAAACTATATATTATGTATACTGGGAAAATTGCATTTAAAGTTGTCAAAATACATATTTTAGGGTTATTCAATGAAATGTACATTATTAAAATTGTAATCCCCATACTCCTCAATAGCATTCTTTTTTTGCCTTTCCTGTTCTCTATTTACTCATAGGTCCTATCATTATCTAATATACTATGTATTTTACTTATTTCTCTTATTTTTACTGAGTCCATCACTAAATTTTAAATTCCATCAGGACAAGAATTCTTTTCCTTCTGTGTTGAGCCAGAGATTGTATATCTCCAGCATGTATAAATGTTCCTACCACTTAGTAAGTACTCAGTAAATATCTGCAAATCATTTACAGTTGATTTTCCTTAAAATGTATAACAGTTACAAATAATAGGGACATTAGAGTTTTTTCAGTGGAAGATGTTATTGTTGATATTGCTTTTCTTTTTTTTTAATTAATTAATTTATTTTTTATTATTATTATACTTTAAGTTCTAGGGTACATGTGCATAACGTGCAGGTTTGTTACATATGTATACTTGTGCCTTTTGAGATTTTTGTACCAACAGTCCTAGCCCTTTTGCTTTTGTCTACAATCATTTCAATACATTTTTTATCTGTGGCAATTATCACTAGACCAACCAACAAAAAAACCGATGCTTTTAGTGAAGGGAGTTCTGAAAAGATGATTCAGTAATGATCAACACTTTTGGTGAAAAACAAAATGTCTGATTGTTTATTACTGAAGGGCATGTCGACCAAATACATCTCACAGAATGATGTCATGTATATGTTACTGGATGTCCTTGTAGTCAGTGAGAGCACCCATCTGTTTCTGTCACTTAGGATGATTAAAAAATTGGGATGACAGAATCTCAGAACCTAAGCTATTTTTTTCAATATTACAATTTATTCGCATAATATATATGCTATTGAAATGTCCAGATTCATCTGTTGTTCATAAGAAGTCATAATGCCAACAATGAAAGGAGAGAGAAACAGCTGGTAGGAAAGACTAGCAATCTGTTTAGTGCGTTAAGTCAGGTCTGAGTGATATCATGTAACATACATGTCCCAAAAGCACATTTTGGCCATTGATGGTTATCCTAAACCACAGTAAAAATTCAACAGATTCCAACTGTTTGAGCCATCAAGGAATTTCTTTTTAAAACAGGTTCTCATGTGACCATGAGTTTACCCATAGAAATAGAGCCTCTCAAACCAACCAAGGAGAATTTGAAATTTAAGGTATAACCAAACCAAAAATTAAGTTTGGCTTCAAAACAATATAAAAATCCTTAACTGCTAACTAGCATCTCCTTACTAGTTTTGCTCAGTGAAGGCAGTGTCAGTGGTAGCACTATTTATCATAAGTTTTAGCATGAATTTAATTCTGAGCATGAATTTTTTATCCTTATAAAAAGATAGATATTCATAAAAAAGTGACAAGTAGAGTTGAAGTCAAAAGTTTATTAATAAAATATTTAATTTGATGGCAAGTCATTGCTTTTTCCTAATTAACTAAAATATTTCAAAATTAATTTTATCTTATTTTTTTACTTGAAATATTCTTCACTTTTTATAATCTGTTGCTCAGAGCATACAAAGCACACAAAGTTCTTGATATGCCTTGACAGAATCAGTGTGACATAGAAATCAGACAGGTCTAAGTTTGAATACTAGCTTTGTTACTCATTAGCACTGTTACCTGGACCAAGCTACACAACCCTTCTAAGCTCTAGTGCCCTCATCTATAAATGAAGTTAATAATGTTATCAAATTTGGAGTTGATATAAGGTCTAACTGAAATCCTTTGCGCCATGTTTAGTACATTATAAAAGGATGATAAATATTAGCTGTTATTGGTAGATACCAATATCAAATATTATTAATTTTTCATACTTGGTCATATTTTGAAACAACCTAAATCCAAATGGTTACATTTTAGGCTTCATATAAAAGCAGGGAACAGCTGGGTAAGCTCTAAAAGCTGTGGTGTAGGTGTGTGATTGCTAGTCTATCATAAACTATTCAGAGTTGATGTTCTTGGCAACCACTGGGGCAAGCTGCCTCTAAGGCAAGTTCAGCTTTCTGGGTCTATTTCTTAAGAGCTCTAAAGAGCTCTTAAGGCAAAAATCCCTACTGCACAATATTCTTCTGGCTACTTGGAAGGCCAACTTTTTGATTGGCCTGGTTCCATGACATGCCCAAACTCAATGACATCCATCTCCAAGGCTACTTCAGCAGCAAACCTCTGGGATATCTCTAACTCAGCCATCTCTTCATCCAGAAGTGCTATACCTCTAAGATTGCAAGCTCATAATCTACTCTCCTGCCACAGGTACCTTAGCTTCCTCATTTCGGATTTCATCCATCACTCCTATGAATATTCTCCTCAGTGTCATTATTCCTTCTCATAAAGTAAAGAACCACTCCCCCTAGGTTTTCAACACCACTGGGGAAAAAAAAATAAAATAAAACAAAATTGGATCTCTAGCCCCAAGCACTCTGTTGAGCTCTAGCCTTACCTTTTCATATGCCTACTGGTATCTCAAATACAACATATCCAAATACAAAGCCACCATTTTGTCTAAAAAGACATTCCTTTCATCTTACTTATTTCTCTAACTCTGTAAACAGAAATGTCTGCCCTATATATTTAACATACTTTTTGTGTATCTGAAAAAGAAAAAAAAAATCCTAGTTACCTGGTAAACATTCATTTCACTAAACATACTTATTGATAATAAGTCACTTTCTCATAATAGAAAGAGATGAATTTTTAAAATTAATGATATTCACTGCCTAGTTAACTAAAAGATATCAATACAGGATCTGCTCAATTACTGTCTAATAATAAAAACCGTAACTGTTCACTTCCTTGTTGACAAACCTGACTTTCCATAATGGCGGTTTATTTCATACTTTGGCATCAAAGACATTAATTAAATTACAAAAGTAATCCACTTGAGATAATTATTGAATTA